GATGTACTTTCCTAGAGCAATTCACGAATCGCCCGAGACCAAGGACAGTCTGCTCAGGAATGACGCCTGCCTACAGAGATGCTCCCCAAGGGCCTTCCCCATGCTTTTGACCAGGCAGGCAGGCTGGGTTAGTGTATGGAGAGTTTGTGGTGTTACTGTGGAAGCTAAGCCTATCCTTGATGATAGCCTGTGATATTTGATTCATTGTGTCTCTTACTTTATTCCATTAAAGGCTTCTCCACCAGTCCTAGAGGCTCCAACCTCAGCTTCATCTTGAGATTTCGTCACTTCTCTTTTGCTTTCACTGAGGTCTGCTGGGTGGGGAGCCTCTGTGGATGCCACCTCACTATGTGGCTCCCATCTGTCTTGGCCTTTTGAACCCACTGCATTGCTGGGAACCAGCTTCTCACCTCTATGCTTTTGATGAGTTATCAGGCATCCTGCTACCTTATGGCCTGCTCACCGGCTGCTCGACTTCCAGCAAAATTCTGCATGTATGTTTACTCTCCCGCCTGAAACCCTCATTTGCTCCACACTGGCGACTACTCAGCCAAATAGAATTATTTCTCCCCTTGGAAATCAAAGTCCTCTATAACTTTTCTAACCCCACACATTCCCCACACTTGTCTTGTTCTCCTATGGAGCCACTAGAGGCAGGATATTGGCACCCACTTATCTGTATACCCTGAGCAGCCCCTAGACAGCATCTTGGCTGTGGAACAATCTCTGTCCATGTTTGTTTCCACTAATTTAATTTGGTGTAGCATCCTGGCATGCAGTAGGCCCCAGGTGCAGGGAGTTTGCCCACAGCCTGGAGAGAAGAGCAGTGGCTAAGACACTAGTGGAATAAAGCAGGAGGGACTTGATTATGCCAGGAATTCTGCCATGAGTAGATTGTTCCGTTTACTCTGAATGCACTGACCCTTCTTCTGGTCAGTGTCTTCCTCCCCTACTCACCTTCTGCCACTGTACTGGATGACAGAACTTGTCCACGTGAGCCTTTCACTAACTCGTTCTCGACATCGAGGCTGTTTGCCCCTGTCCCTCTCTGGCCAGCAACACCCTGGGCTGTGTCACTGGTCAGAACTGCTCCACTCCCATATCTTTAAGTCAGACAATGAGGCTCTGGGTGCAGCCTCCACTTCTCTTTTTCCATTATTGATGACAACTCGTGTTTACAGTTCCGGGATCTCTGTCCTCTCTCCTTACTCCCATCTCAGCCCCTTTGATCATCATCCTCAGCTTCTCTGCTCCACACTCCTGCTTCTACTCCAGGGTGCTGGGGCCACTCCCAGCACCACACTGACCAGTGTCTCTGCAGGCCCTGGCCTGGCACTTTCTACCAACTCCTTGCTGTTGGCGTGTAAAGCAACAAGGGAGGCCAATCTTGTATTCATTTCTAGCTCCTGCCCTCTTCACTTAAAGCCAAGTGTCTGGAAAGAGGGTCCTCTCATGCCCCTATCCCACTTCCTCACTCTGACCCAGGCGGGTGGTGCATCAAAGAAGGCCCTCTCATTGTGCAGTATGGCTACTTACAGGAAAACTAATACAAGCAAGTGGTGTACAGCAGCCACATTTCAGGTATGCAGTAGCACCCGTGGCACAGAGAACATTTCTATCATCACAGCAAGTTCCGCTGGAGAGTGCTAGTCCACACCACGCCCAGCTTGCTCCACATCCTTTCTCCTCTCTCGTAAATGATTCCGTGTTCACCACATGACCCAAGCCTTTCTTAGGAGTGGGCACTGTGAGTTCCCCTTTCTGAGACTCCAGTCCTTTTGCTTCCCCTCAGAGAATAAGGAAGCTTCCTCCTCGTGTTTCTCAACCCCGCCCTCTCCCCATCCTGAAAGCACCATCTCAGCACGAGCCTCCGCCATTCACTCCATTACAGCAAAAACTTCTCCAGCTACGTTCTCCTTCTCCACGTGACAGACAAGCCCTTTCTAAAAAACACAGTGGATCCTGCCACTCTCTAGTTAAAGCCCATCTACAACTTTCACGGCCTTAGGGATAAAGGTCAAACTCACCAACAGGGCCGAAGCCCTTCCTTACCAACTTCCTGATCCACTACCCTCTCCAGATCCGTCTTCTTCTGTCTCCCTTTCCCCCAAGTCTGGGCCTTCTGCACCCCCAAACATGCTAGAACCTTTGTTCACCCCCAGGCTTTTACCCTTTAAGTCCTTTTCCCTGCTCATCTGTATGACTCTTACTCCTCCAGGGCTGACCACAGACATCACATCCTTCCCAAACCCACTGCTCCCATCCCAAGGCGAGATGAGGAGCCCTTCTACAGATTCCTGTTGCACCTCTGCTGATGCCATCAGGAATGTTGTGACATTCACCTGTCATGTCCCCATTGTATCCCCATTACCCTTGCAAGGCCAGCACAAAAGCTGATAGTGTCACAGAATCTGATGTCTTCGCCAGCCTTTCATTAACAGTGATGGTGCTTCATCTTACTGGGTGATGCAAGAAAGGGAATTAGGCCAAATGCTAAGACTTCTTCCATGAGCTGCTTTTAATTAAAACATGAAGCTGTGTCATAGTCTTCTAGAGCAGGGTTTTCCAGTCTCTAATTTAAGACTCATAATGGGCAATAAAATCAATAGAGTGGGTCATGACCAACTTTTTTAAAAGCATGGAATAGACGATAATAGAAAATGTCAGAGCGTGTCATGTCTATTATAGTGAGTATTTTTTCATGTTTTTTTTTTTTTGTTGTTTCCGCGGTATCTACGCATAGGCTTGTGAATACTGGGCCATAACGCAAAACTTGCCATCTCTTGCTCTAGATGACAGTTGCAGAAGTTGAAAGACACTATTCTAGGGAATACCTGGTTGATTATTCCTGGGGCAGACATGCAAATAGCACTATATGATGACTCTAACAGCAATATATGATTCATAACGTGCACTTTTGCTTCCTACGGTCCTATAATTTTCATTAACTTTTCAGAAATGTCTTGCATTTTTTTTTCATCTTATGCTACGAAAAAAATGTTCTGCCAGTTCCGTTGAGTCCTTAGTATCTGTCTAGAGGTGCAGAGACCTCCACAGCAACTCTACAGATTAGGAGGGTGAGCTCTTACCTTCCCTGGGCAGCCCCAGAGGACGCATAAGGGCAGAGCTGAGGTCACTTACCTGGGGATGGTCCATGGCTTAGAACACAGGAGCGTTTCAATAAATGTTAGCTTCTTGAATAAATCCATATATGGAATGGCTTTACCATTTGCAGAAATAAGGGTCCCAATGTGCTAGTTGATATTACACATCCACCTATTGATCCACCCCACAAGGCAGTGAGCATAGGATGTATGCAGATTGTACCTTCCCGATAACAGAATAAAATCAGCACAAATGTAACTCTGCCTTGGTATGTCTGCAAGCTACTATAGCTTCCCAGGAAGGCCCAAGTGCTTTCCTTTGAATTGGTGCTGAACTTGTTTTAATTGTGCCTCTTCATATCTGGAACCCCTCTATTTTCCATGACTTAGATGTAAGACAATGCCATTGGAATAAGGAAGGTACCTCCTCCTATTTCTCAACCCGACCCTCTCTCCCCCCATCCTGGGAGCACCATCTCAGCATGAGCCTCATATATACCAAGAAACATAGATTGATAGTGGTTGAGAGCATTCTGAAGTCTTCTCCCAGGCACAGAGGGAATGATCACAGATGGATAGAAAGTGTTTGCTACAGAGAAGGGAGGTGAGGAGAGACATATGCTGTGCATTGGCTAGTCCTTAGGGAGGACCTTAATGAATCTAAAGGCTAGTATTTTTCTTTTGTATATCAATATATAAAAATTAAGCTCATAAAAGTAACAGACATTTCATTCAAAACTTTAAAACAAATTTAGAAAATATTTGTAACCTTCTTACTCAAATAGTCGATACTATTTTGGCATCTTTTGCCGTATTTTTCTGTTTATGTATATATTTAAAATATTTGAGTATTTATTATATTTTAGATATCTTGTTTTCCCTTCCACATATCACATGCCCTTTCTAAGTCTGTTCTTCTTTCCAGAATTTTAGAGGGGAACATAAATCCTACTGCGATTATAGACCATAACCGATTTAACTAATTGCCTGCTGTTGTGCTTTTGGGTTGCTGCCAATTTTCCATTTTTACAAACATTTCTATGACTAGGTATTTGTGCTTATCCACAATTATAGACTTCGAATGGGGAATTTTATTTCTACTGTAAAAATACAGGTCAGGCTGTTTTTCTCTCTACATTCAGATGCCATTTAAAGTCCACTGGGGAAGATGACTGTCCTATTATTCAAGGAAAAAGTTATCTTGATCTTAGCCTTAACCAAAGAATGCTCATAAAGCAACAGTGTGGTCTGCCAAGAGAGAGGGAGGCCCAGCTGGGAACCGGGCCCAGCCAGTGCACAGGAAGGACCCTGGGTGAACCATGGACTTTCTCATCTTCCTTTTGCGTATCTTAAAAACAAGAGGGTTAGACTTGATTCCTTCTTTCCATACCAAATCTTGAAACACGGGCCCTGCATAGCATGAAGGTCACATCTGCCCCATCCCAGAAACTCAAGGTAAACAAACTAAGTCGGTTTGGAAAAATTTAAAGGATGCAAAGTTTCCATTTTCAAGGCATTGTGAGAAACGCCTCTTTCTCCCAGCTGGCGGCCCCATAAATGAAGCATTTCACAAGCTGCTCATGGCTCGCTTAATGAGGATGCCAAATTACACCACCAGATTTTCCCCTTTGGTGCCATCACTTTTCCTCCTTATGCCGATGAGGATTCAGGGTGGCGTGAAGATAAGAGTTGGTATAAATGAGAACTTTGTGCTATCCATGCAGGACCTGCGTTTCTCTCTGAGCAATATTTTCAGACTTAAAATTTCTCATTTACTAATAATTAAACTTCAAAGGAAAAAAGAGACAGACCCAGGAAAGGGGATCTCACTGATATTTACTCACCTAGCAATAAGCATCCAATTCATTACTGAGGAAATAAAGAGAGAATACGTACCTAACAAACGAAGGAGGAGAAAAAGAACTCCCAAGGCGTAAGACTTGAGTTCAGGGCTGACTGTCCTACATGCAAAGAGATGAAGAGGGAAAAAAACAGATTCTTATCACTCCCCAGTAATTAACAGACCCAGAGTCATTTGCTGCTGTCCATGAGAGCTCTTCTTTAGAAAATTACTAATTGTGTCTTTTTTTTTTTTTTTGGTTTCCCTGCCTAAAGTCTGAAAAATTACTGCTACTGTGGTGCCAAGAAGGTTTAGGAATTTCATAGTGTTTTTTAATAACTGGAGCTCACCTTGTCATTCGAAGGATAGAATGCAAATTTGGACCCAAAAGACATGCTGGTTTTGCTGAGACCAGGAAGCATCTAAGTTGGTAGGGTATGCGTACGGGGGAGAAATGTCAATGGAGAAAATAATCCCCCTTAGGCTTCACAAACAGGCTGACACCGTGAACATCTCTTCCCATTCTCCAGTCATTGCGTGAAATCCACCAGGCTAGCATGGTTTCACACCCTGGAGGGACCAATTGGGAAATAATCCACTTAGCATGTTTCAGCACTGTGATGGTTAATACTGAGTGTCATCTTGATGGAGGGATGCAAAGTATTGATCTTGGGTGTGTCTGTGAGGGTGTTGCCAAAGGAGATTAACATTTGATCCAGTGGGCTGGGAAAGGCAGCATATAATCAGCTGCTAGTGCAGGTAGATATAAAGGAGGTAGAAAAGTGTGAAAAGACCAGACAGGCCTAGTCTACCCACCTGCCTCTTTCTCCCATCCTGGACCCTTCCTGCCCTCAAACATCAGATTCCAAGTTCTTCAGTTTGGGGACTCTGACTTTCCTGTACCACAGCTTGCAGACAGCCTATTGTGGAACCTTGTTGATTGGGTGAGTCATTAGGTATTACAAGATCGATCTCTCTCACTTCTGTACCTCTAGAGAACCCTGATTAATACAAGCACCTTTTAAATTGGAAAGGTATCTTCATCTAATTATAGTTTTTTGTTTCAAAGTGATCCAATCTCCCTGGCCTTGGTTTCCTCAGAATAGTCCCTTAGAATGATCTTTTTATACATTTTCCAGAACATTTTCCAGAGTGTAACATTTTCTGGAATGGGTTAGTAGACAGAAGTTTGGAAACACTGACCAACTTCAGGCAGATGGGTCCATACAGCTGATAACACAGCCTCCTTTGTAATACCTCCTACTTGTGTAGCTCGTATTTCTTCAACACTTGGCTTCTGTCTTGAGGCCAAAGGCTATTTGTGTCTTGTTTAGCATCATTACCTCAACCCCAGCACTATGTGTGCTGCCCAGCATGTGCTATGTGACAATGTAAGTGGGTAGATGGGTGGGTAGCCTTTTCTTGGCTTGGTGATGAAGGCATGTGAAGGGAAAGACAGTTGACTGACCACATGCATATGTGCTTCAGGTCATCCTGAATACCAGTGCCAAAGAACCCTTCTCTCATCTGTCCCCATCACGAGTCCCTAGGGGAGATGGGGAAGGAATCACATGTCTATGCTCCCTGGAAGGACCTGGCTAGGCGTAGAAGCAGTCCAGTATGCTGAAACACCCATGAGCTGCAAGGATGGCCTAGAAATCAATTTCGTACAAAATAAACATTAATAACAAAGTTACCAGCAGGATATCCAGTTTACAGGATATTTAACCTATCTATGGACTTGGCTAGAACAACGTTCTTAAATGGTCTCAGAGGTCATTCATACAGCCATCCAATGAGCTACCAGTTGGTTTGAGCCTCAGGTGGGCATGTCTGGTTTCTTGGTATGACAGACTCAGTGACAATTCAAAAAGGATGTGTCCTCTCCAAATTCACACATTAAAACCTAACCCCTAAGGTAATGGTGGGGCCTTTGGAAGGTGATTATTAGGTCATGAGGACTCTTGCTTTTGTGAATAGGTCCAGTGCCCTTAGAAAGGATACCCCAGAAAGTTACCTCACCTTTCTATGTCAGGGCATGGCAGCAAGGCACATCTCTGAACCAGGACACCAGCCCTCACCAGACAGCACACCTGTTGCCACCTTGATCTTGAATGTCCTGGTTTTCAGAACCGAGAGAAATAAAGGCCTTTTGTTTAGAAGCCACTGCATCTAGGTATTTTGTTACAGCAGCCTGAATGAATGAAGGCATTGGTCAGTCTTGGCCCCCATTTCTACGATTTTCAGGGAAAACACATCTCTTAATTATAAAGAGTAGAAGACAGGTAAGTCATCACAGGGCAGCAGGTCATGACTTTCATGAGCAATGGGGACATGACTCTGGCTAAGACACTAGTACAACGTCCAGGTTAAGTCCAGTGTCTCTGGCCAGAAACACAGTCAGTACTCTAGAATGTGCACGTCACAAAATCCAAGTTCTTTAAAGATATTATCGGCTCCATGGCTCCAGTTTTTGCACTTTGATTTAGACGCATAAATAGAGGCAAATTCTCCTTATCAAGAAAGCACTCTGGTATAATGAGCCAGAATATTTATCACCTGAAATCTGATTTCCTTTCAGCTATCATGTCACTAGGAACAAAGTAAGGAAGGTGCTAAGATCTCCCTTCATATCCTCTTGGGAAACTGGTTTCTGTGAGAAGAATAATCCTTTCTGGCTTTAGTTATGAAGGAACGGAGGGCTCTGTGCGAACACTATTGAAAGTTCTGGGCAACAGTGGGGAGGGAGTCTTAACTCTACATGTATAGCTCTGTGACCTTGAGACCACCACCTAATTACTCTCAGGGCCCAGTGTGGGGCCTAAGGCTGAGCATCAGCTTTTAACCTCACTTCCAGACATTCTGAGCACTGCTGTTGGTGGGATGGTCCCGCCTGGCACGACAGTGGGTTCACACTTCCGGGATGGCGCAAGGGCTGGTGCGCATCTGTGCCCCTGTGCCAGCCTGGGACATCTGTGATAGCAAATCAGACCAGGAAGGTCATGCCATAAAGCTGCGTCTTGGCCTCCTGTATACACACAATGCATAGCGTGTACTTCCAGCACAGCGTGGGGTTATAAGCTTAGGTCATTTAGGCCATCTGTGGCTGTTTAATTTAGAGGGAATCAAATATCCCAGAAAAGCTCCAGGAGCTATTTATAAAGCTGAGACTGTTGAAATTCTTAATCACTTCCCAAACTTTCCATGTTTGGTAGTCAACACTAGTGAGTGTGTAGAGGCTGGATTTTTGCAGGGGAGTTTGTGGGGGAAGCGCGAGAGGGATTAGCCATTTTTCATGCTTCTTGGTGCGTTTGGTATATGAATATCACAATATAACTTCACGAGAATGTCTAATAATGAAAAATAAACTACTCATAAGGCAACCACCTAAAACCTGTACATGAGATCTGATGGGTTTTGTCCAAATGCATATTATACATAATCATCCTCTCTAAATACTTTTAAATTCAATAGTTCATTTCATAAACACTTTCACATTCTTAAGAATGTTCATTATTCCATGGAGCTGCAGTCCCATAATTTAACTCACTATTCCAATTCAGGTTTTTCTGCTATTATAGTTAACGTTGTAATAAAAATCTGTCTGCATTGAGCTTTTTCTTTTTCTTGCAGAGAAGTATTTTCTTAAGATAAATGGCAGGGGTATTTATGCATATTTACTGCATAAAAAAGTCTGAATAATTTTACGGTTCCTGGCTCTCACTGCCATATTGCTTTTGCGAAAGGCATGATAGGCTTTTCCCATGCCACCAGCAATTGGTAATTTTGCCAGTTTTGCTTCAGCCTTGTAACCACTGGGTGTCAATTTTTAAAATTTATTTTTCAAACTTAGTAAGTATCAAATGGCAATTTGCTATTGTTGCCTGAATGCTGTACACATTCACAGGCCTTGCTAATGACCTTCAAGGTAACATTAAAAAAAAAAATCCTCTTCCTTGGCCATTCGTAACACAAAGAATGAGGAAATGTGGTTGGCAAAGTGAGAGGAAGAGAAAAGCTGGATGAAGTAGAGGTGGAGTGCGTGGACACTGGGTACTCCATGCGTTTTGTTCCTACTTTTATTTCCCACCCTTGCTATGGAATCTGCATCCCAATAAGGCAAGTCTTTTGAAAACAAACAAACAAACAAACAAACAAACAAAAAACAGTGTCTTGCTCTGTCACCCAGGCTGGAGTGCAGTGGCATTATCTCAGCTTACTGCAACTTCTACCTCCTGGGTTCAAGCAATTTTCCGGCTTCCACCTACGAAGTACCTGGGATTACAGGTGTTTGCCACCGTGCCCTGCTAATATTTGTATTTTTTTGTACAGATGAGGTTTCATCATGTTAGCCAGACTGATCTCAAACTCCTGACCTCAAGTGATCCTCCCACCTTGGCCTCCCAAAGTGCCGGGATTACAGGCGTGAGCCACCACGCCCAGCTGGTGAGTCTTTGTGTAGTGTGCCTTCCCCTGATTCAGATGAGGGGCAGGGTACGTGTCAGATTACTTTTGGGTTCCACAACTCTGCAAATGATACAAGTTACTCAGAATATTACTAATGGCTCATCTTTGAGGCACCTCACCTGTCCCCAGGACAGGTCCCAGAGACAGGTAATAATAGAATTTCGGTTGGCTGTCTCCAACCACCTCTTTGTATAAGAATGGCCGTGAGCCCTGCTGCACAAGAACCCTCACATCTCCACTGTGTTTGCACACACAGTGGGTCTCAGTGGGTCCTGCCCCACTGCAAGAGGCAGGCAGGACAGGTCATATCAGTCCTAGTTACAGATTCAGAAGCAAGTCTCTGAGGAAATGTGCCCACGGTCATATGGCTAAGCAGTAGCAGGGGCTGGGTGTTCATTTTCCTCCAACAAGGCTGCCTCCTGCAAGGATCAATGTGGGATCCTTTTCAAAACTGCCTGCAGGGTCTATTTCTGGGAGAACAAGAAAGTGCTGTCTTTGCCGCCATGCCCTACCTTCTTCTCTTGGTGGGAGGCCCCTATCAAACATAATTGATTTCTTTCAGCCTGGAGAAGCTTCGCTCCTTGCTGAGGTCCTAGCTCACCTGGCTGGGGGCAGATTCCTATGGCGTTGGAAGCTCTGGTCCCCGGGAGACCTGCAGAACTCCCGTGGAAAGGAGGAGAGGTGGGGCCGTGCCAACGGCTTACCTGATGAGAATGATGACAGAGGGCGTCTGCGCCATGGCACCGATCAGGCTGCAGATACACATCACACACAGGAAGGTGAGGAAGGCCTCTTGGCACCCGGGACTGGGGCATTTTCCGGGAACTACGGTCGCGTTCTCAGCAGGGACGGTGGTGAGGCACGCACAGCCCGTGAGATTCTGAAAGGGAAGCGTTCAGCCCTTTTATCTGGGGTATCTCCAGTTTGCAAAGGCAAGGCCATCCATCAGCAGAATCTGTCACAGTCTAATTATGCATTCTGTGGCATTCCATTAATTAGGGCTGAATAAAAGAGTTAGTTTTTTTAAGGAGGCTGCAAAATACACACAAACACAGGAATATTTACGGGGAGGAGAGCTGATTTCTCTGTCTCTTGTGTTTCATTTCCATTCTCAAGAATCCCCCAGTAAGCTCTACCATAGACAAATGCACGCCCCCCAACACAATTAGAGAGGAAATTGCACTTCCACAATATGATAAAACATTGCCAAATTAACACTGTAATTACTTGCCAATTTGTCCTCTCTTTTATGCAGTTATAATTACACTGAAGTGTATTAAAAGAGGTAAATCAGGTAACCCGCATATTGTTGCTGGTTCGGTGCTCAACATGGCACTTGGAACAAAGGCTGCACGCTGTCACATGTGAAGTCACTGCGTCTGCAAGGCTGGGCAAGGGGTAGCTGATGGAAAGTTCTCTGGAGGCTGAGGAAGCAAAGAGGGCTAAGAGATGCAGGTGCCTGGAGCAGCTCATGGAGAGCAGAGCTAAAACCCGATGAGATACATTTATTAATATGTGATCAGAGAGAAGAAAGAAAAGCAACTACATTTCATTTGATCCTCCGGGTAGATTCTAGCCCAGCTACCTGTTCCTAGGCCAGGTTCTCTCTCCTGCTCACTCCAGGAATTTCTGATGGCAACAGGGGGGAGGAGCAGGGGTTGGGAGAGGCAGTGCCAAGCCAATTAAGGTTCCATCATAATAGTGCAGAGGCCTTTAATGAATACAAAGTGAAAACAATCACAAATGATTCATTGCTTCTCCTTCCAGGACTGCTTGGCTTTCAGAGCACATGCCCAGGTATATCCTCCTGAGGGTCAAAGAAATCCCCTCTGGCTTTTACTGTTCTCCTCCTCCTCTGGTCCTCCCCCAACAGAACATAGAGATACGGGTTTCTTATGTCATTAAGCTACACGGGAAAGTGTTTATGTGCCCCCAAACCCCAACAGGGCCAATCTGTATAGCTGTGCCCCCCGCTGGGGCTTTTATCCTTGGGGAAGGAAGGGGGGCACACCTTGTATGCTGGGGCTCTGCCCTTCCCCCCATCTGCCCAGAGCAGGTGCCTTTGTGAAAGTGGTTCATTTAGGGTACCCAGGGGACACACAATGTAATTCCCAGAAGATCCTGAGGCCCCGCCCCTCTGTCCCTTTTTACATACCTCTGCCTGGAGACTCTTCAGCTCTTGTTCAAAACCCAGCCTGCAACTGCCTCCCTTCTCAGAACCTCAGCTAGCTGGGCACATCCCATCCCACTTCCAAGTCGCACAGGGCCCTGTTCAAGGGTCACTCCATCCCCACTACACAGACCTTTTCCTGCCTCCTGGAGGAGACAAGAGCCTCTTGGGACAAGACCTATGTCTCTTGCATTCTTTTCCAAGCATCTTTTCCTGGCACAGAGCTGAGGCTCAGTAAAGGAAACTAAGCAGACAGCTAGCTTTAGAATGCACATGAGAACGAACCTTCCTCACTTGTATTAGGAAGCAAGACTTCTCAACTTAAAATGCCACTCCTCCTCTCCCCAGGAGAGGAAACTGCCCACTCCTCTCCAGCATCCCAGCCAAACTTTTCTAGCTATTTACACTCACCACCTGCATTTCTCTTCTCCCACACTCTCAACTCACTCTGACTGGCTTGTTTCCACACGCATGAATCCGGTGGTGCTAAGCTCTTTAGTGGGCTCCATAGCCCAGGCCCACCATGCATTCTTCTCTCCCCAGAGTTCCCAGGTGCGCAGGCCTCTTGCTGACTACTCACCACTCCCTTCTTTGGCTTCAAGGCCCCACCCTGTCTGCCTGGTCTCCCTCTGGTCACTCACTTTCCATTTTTGTCTGGTACCTTCTCCCCTTTGCCACCTGCTCTGGACTTCCTTCCTTTGCCTGCACTCTTTCCCCAGCTCTCCTACCTTTATTTTATCATCTCTGCATTTGATCACAACTCTCCCAAATTTAATCTTTAGCCCCAATCCTTCCAAGGCTGACTTGCTATATCCCTTGCTAAGACTTGTGAGCATGGTGAGGCATCAAAATGCCTCCAGGAATGAGCCGCTGTGCTGGGTTCTGTGCTTTCAGCTTGGGGCCACTGTCCCTCCTAAGGCTGGGAACTATCTCCCCTGAGTTCCGTTTCCTGCAAAGATGGGAGCTGGACAGGAATGAAACCTGGGAGACTCAGAAGGCAGGAGGTGTAGGAGACCAGCATATGCCACCTCAAAATACGCTTGTTTAGCATAAAGAATATTTTGAGCTGATTATTTTGAGAAACCACAGACACAGGAAGAACCTCTGACAACAGAAGTTACTGTCATGTATGGAAAAGTAAATTTACAAAGAAAACCTCCATTTCCAAGGGTGGCTCCTCTCTTAAGAGACAGAGGAATGACTGAATCCCTGGAGACTATGACCAATCTAGAAGACACTGACTTCAGTCTGTAATAACAAATGCTACTCTTGTTTAAGGTGCTTTTGCTGGGCATCTCCCCACAACTGGCCTTCCCCACACCCTTCTTTCTCTGTTTCACTGGACTACAGGGGTATTCAAGCCTGAAGTCAAAGCCACCTCTTTGAGATTCACCCATTTCTCTGGCTGTGTCCTGCAATACATCATGTACACGTGTTCCTAAACCTGTTTTCCTCCTGTTAATCTGTCTTAGGTTACAGGGGTCTATCCCAACTGGGAACTGTAAAGGGTAAAGAGAAAATTACATGTTCCTCTTCTACAAAGCAAGGCTGAGGCCATTACACCCAGAAGGTCATGCAGTCAGGCATGAAAAGGGACACACAGACATGCCCAGACAGCTCCAGTCTGTTCCAGCAGTTCCTACTTTGCTCTGCCTTCTTTGCTGCCGACCCTACTGACCGGCGGAGGCGCCATGCCCACCTCTACTGACCTGGCTGCAGCTGGCCATGTGACTCCCCGCATCCCAGAGCACCCGTCCGATCTCCCGAGAAGCCATGCAGCGCAGCTTCTGGGGACGCTCCTCTGAGCTCTGACCTGCCAACCTGTGCCAGGGGTGCGGGGGTGTCTAGTGAGAAACTGTTGCTTTGCTTCTTCCTCTCACTTCTTCAAAACACTGTTTTCCTGACGGCGCCGTGGCCCTGGCCCCAAACTCCTTTCCCTCCACCTCTTGCCTCAGTAACAGCACCCTATTCACTACTACGTTGGTGCAAAAGTAATTAAAAGTAACGATAAAAACTGCAATTTTGCACCAACTTAATAGAAACCAGGAGGTAATTCTGAATCCCCCATTCACATTCCTATATCAAAACCACCTTCCTCCTGACACTAAGGCTAATGAAGACAGAGACCACTGTGGCTGTATTTCCTAATTTACCCCAGCCATCCAGAACAGGGCTGGGCTTACAACAGGGATTAACAGGGATCATATATATTATATATATATTATAATATATATATATATATATATATATATATATATATATATATATGTATTTGTTGAATGGGTGAATCCCTAAGTTCTGTTCATTTTGCCATATCTAAGTCTATCTCAAACCCTGCCCTAGTTCAAACCACTTGCAGCCATTCTTTGATTACTGTACTGGTAATCAAAGTGAGGAAAATGATTTGGGACTGGGGTTCTTAGAACCACAAGGACTTAAAAAGTAGTCGGATTTAAATGAAGAATGGGCCATTGTGGCTGGCTGTGGTCTTGTTTGGCTAAGTACCCCGGGAATCCCCCAATTCTAGTACCCCACATTACATTCCTGAGTATTCCTGAGAGGCTATGTATCTGTAGCACTCAATCTCTCAGGGAGGTAACACAGGCACTGAAACTGAGGGAGGAAGGCCAGAACCCTCTGAATGAGCCCTGTGATCAGTGAGCTTTCTTTGGTTTAACAATGTAAGTTCTTTTAGGCTGACTCACTGCACCATGGACTATACCATAGTAACCTCTGTGACCTGCATGTACACTCCAGATGAAATCCTGGAACTAGACAGTCTCAAGTAACTGGAAAACCACAAAAAGGAGAAGAAAGATCAACCCTTGTGGCGCCTAATTCCTACCTCAACTGATAAGGCAATTGGACTTTATAACTGACCTTGGTCAACCTCTGACTCCAGACCCTGGGACCCCCTCCCAAATTGCAAAAACAGCCCTGAACTGTAACTTCTGTAACTTTCCATTGCTTACCCCAAACCTATAAAACCAACTCTGTCCCACTGCCTTCCACTGACTCTCTTTTTGGACTCTGCCCAACTGTACCTGGGTGAATAAACAGCCATGTTGCTCGCACAAAGCCTGTTTAGGGGGTCTCTTCATTCAGAGCGCGTGTTTAACATTTGGTGCCAAAACCTGGGACGGGGGTACTCCTCTGGGGAGACCAGATGCTGTCCCTGCTCTCCCTCTGTGAAAAGATCCACCTGCGACCTCAGTGCAGTAAGACCTCAGCACATCAGACCAGCCCAATAACCCTCATGCCACCTTCAGATTGAGTAAGCAGTCTCTCCTTCTTTCTGTTTCCCTTTAGAGCAAAGGAGACAAGTCTCTCCTTTCTCTCTCTTTTCCTTTAAATCCTTCTAACAGAAACAAAGGCAACACTATCTGTAGAAACAGGGGAGAGAAGTCTCTCCCTCTTGCTCAAAAACTCTGACTTCAGTCACGGTCCCGGGAAGACAGCCTTCCCTTGGTGTCTGGTCAATCTTGAGGACGCCTGCTGTGATCACTCAGCCACGTTCCAGCCCAGGACTCAGTCAGGGATGCCTTCTGCAAACCCTGGCAGTGGCTGCTCCTTCTCCTCATGTCTACTCTACTTCTCTCCTCCTAACTCATTACTTTCAGTATGTGCAGTATTCTGCCATCTATTCCTCTGGCTTCACCTCTAGCCTGCATCCTAAAAAACCGAAAACCTCTTCAACTGTGGCCCGATCT